TCCAAACTAATCTTTGTAACTCTGTGATTTTCTAATGAGTGCATTCCGTTTACTTTTAAATTATTCTTTATAATGAATCAATGATAATCGACTAATGTGCAACAATATGAATTATTGGTTTACCATTACATATTGATAGCACTGATAACGTATATCAATTACGACATGTTCATGCTAACCATCAACGTTAGTGCCAGAAATCACCGAACGTTTAAAGCTCACTAGCGTTTGGATAATAGTGTTGATAATAAAAGTAGGCTAGTCCGAGTAAACATTCAGTGACAAGGAAAACACATTTCTCAATATTAAATCACTATTCATAAATTCAAGTGTACATCTAAACAATCATTCGTCTACTGCTCAATCACTACACTATAATCATTTATTTATTATATTTACTTTTTCTGATTTGCCGCGAAAATCAATCATCGTATTATCACATATTTCAAAATGACCTTTCCAATCAATGTGCATTTTCTAAATATAGTCAGAAAAGTATCAAATTTACTTCAACATACACTTCCTCGCTCATTCTTCTGTCTTTGCTCGAACAGTCAGATGGGTGAATAGCGTGTAGCACACCGTGTTTCAGGGTCAGATTTTGAACACTAACTGTAACAACAATATCAATAGTGTCCAAACATTGCAACAATCTACATTTAGTTTTTGAACACATAAAGCCAAGGCTTCCGTAAACCTTAGTATACGTCCTGGAAGGCCTTTGTATAACACTACAAATGCTGACTTGACTTGTTGATAGACAGACATCATCCTCCATTGCGAAACATTTGATTAAGGCTGGTCATAAGGTTGATATACGAAAATGGAAATGTACATTTCAGCATCACACAAATAAACCGAAATAAAATGATCGAAAACCAACTCATTTAAGACAACAAATCATGAAAAATTATATATGTTTAGCTACTAGTCGCAGTATTATTTTTTGGTGTGATACATGTTTTATTTTTACCTCCAAGATTTGGAGGTAATATTTCCAAAAGGCATCTCCAAGTATCAGCCAAACGTAAGTATAAATTATTCCTGAAAAGAGACATGATAATGGGAATAATGATTAAAAAGTAAATGACTAGATGAAATTGTTCATTAACTGAAATGATGCTGGTGCTTTTAAACAAAACCATCTCGGCAACTATTCAATAACCAGTAATAAAAATTTGATGAGCCTCTACAGATGCGTGTGGAATGTTTATTTTCAAGGCACATATAAATGTCATATGAGTACCGAAATAACAGATGGTGATAATCTCACAAATATAAAACACTCGAAACTACAAGCCTATATATGTACTACGTAAATTGGTAAGTGACAATCAATTCTCATTAATGCCATCCAAGATCATGAAATATCTGAATATTGATTAATTTTCCATAAATTGATCATATGGTTCTACTACAAGAAATCAACAATGACGTATACATTATTTTGACTATGATGAGAAAATTTCTCGAAATAATTGTTCACTCAAATATGAAGTAGAATCGTAAAAGTCATTACTTAGATGAGATCCCATCCAGTTGGCAAGCCAAAAACTGAACCAAACACGCATCACGAATTCCCATAACAGTATAAGATTAATGAACGGAATAGTAAAGACTCCAGTCCCATTGGTTGTGTCTGATAATAATTTCAGTAATAAATGATTTAAAATTGTAGAGTGATATCCAACTTACCACGTATTCAATATAAGAAGTCTTAAACAAGAATTTGTCAATCCCATTGATTAATTATGCATATTTCAATGAATAGTAACAAATCACAATATCTGGCTTTATAATATGAGGCTGAATTGAGAGGAACGTGATGATTGAATGTTATTACTGACACTTATTTGATATTACTTCACCAGATTCCATTCAATTTTCTGAGGTGACATCATCAACTTAACATGTTTCTCAGAATATTTCCGGTGTAATTTCTACCAACTATGTTGAATCTATCAAACACAAATGTAACACTGTTGAATAAGACAAGCCACGCTCAAATATGAAGTAGTATTCATGTTGGAAGAACTCACTATTTCACTTTTCGAAGTGATCAGTAACTTCAAGTTCGAATTTTCACCTACAAACCTTACACGCATGATAGCAAAACCGTCAACCAACTAATGAGTAATTCTCCATAAATATGATTCTCATTTGTGGATGATGTTGCACAAACCACATTTATAAACTAGGACGTGAGACAGATAGGGTAGACGATGCCAAGAGTTTTGATCAGTGATAAAGTTCTGTTTAAACTCTTCTGAGTAATATCATACAAGGATTAAACAGTTGATCAGTGTCATCTAGCAATTGACGATAAGCAAACAAATTTCAGATCCACTTGTGAAACAGATCATGAGTCGTCAATCTTAACAATCTCATAAATTCACAAACGAAATAAACCTAATACTTCAACATTTACTGACCATCCCTAAACTCACATTACGATTACAAATGACGTCATCGATGTACAAATGAAAAAAAGAGCTTTTCTACTACAACTAATCGAGAATATTTCAATCAATGCAACAATCATATTAACATATAATTAGCAAGATAAATGTTCTCCGAGAATGAGGTCAAACAAAATAGTAAACTAGTGAATCCAATTCTCTCATATTTTGTGTCCCATACACTCTGAGACAGTAGAACACATTAATAAATAGTATGTCTAAAATCAACACTTCCTGAATAGTCACACATTCAAAGAAGGAAGGACAAATGAGCCACAGAACATATCAGGTGAATTAATGACATTCACAAAATAATTATTATGCTTACTCCACATCGAAGATCACTAACAAAATCATTGACATTACGAAAATCAACATCGTTAGTTTGTGTTGTAATGTTCTGATTAGAATGGAACAGAGCAAATCTATTCATTGATGTTAAATTACTGATAGTAAGTATATCTATTGTCGACTTGAATGAAAGAAACAATCATAACTACCTACTATGCTTCAAAATCATTAATAGTTATTATCAATATGATGGATGTGATCAACTTACACACTTGCTTCTTACAGAATATGTTTCATTCATATCCTCAAATGCTCAAAACTTTGAAAACTGTTTTAACTCATCTGTGAGAAACAGAGAGATGCACACTACTCAGACTGTTTCTCATAATGTCACCTTACTGAAGACAAATATTCCATAAGATATCATTCGAACAGTTTATCGTATAAGATTTCTGAACACAAAATTATTTGCACTAAACATTGTTGCGACTATTCGTGTCACCATTCTGTGTTTGATTCACTTAGTAACTGACACTCATGAGTAACATTTCACATTATTCCGTTCCACTCACCTCCTTTTCCTAAAACAACAACAATAATAAATGGAAATATCGTGTGATACTAACTGATGCTAAATCATAACATATTCATCGGAATTTTATCATTAATGCGAAGTAGAAGAAGTAGCGGAAGAAGAAGACGTCACTTCATCTTACATAGGACAAAAATATAACAATGTTTCAATATTATCAATGTTCAACTCAACTCTCATAAACATTGAATTAACTGAATTTCTGGCTCTCATCCATAGTTCAGTTTACTTACTAGTGATTCACCTGAACCGATAACCCTTTTCTTGTTATTACCAGATAATGTCGATCATCGTTCAATTGAAAACTTATCTAATTCCAGACAGTGTCAACACGCGTTCACACCATTTTCTAATTCCTTCACATTTACAGTGCCAAATATCACTGCTTCTCTGTCATTAAACCAGTATGAGTAAAACTAACCATTTTATCAATTATTAACACTTCAATAACCGTAGAACGCATGTCATGACAGATTTTAAGTGAACAGATGAGCTTGAATTCACAACTGATATCTCAATTGAAAGTAGATCAGATTTCTCCATTCAGCAAATCAAATTACTGACATTATATCAATGTGTCACAAGAATTTCAGTCGAAGTTCAATAACTTCAATGCTCATTTATACTACACATAAATTAGATAGTAATTGAGAAAGAATTTCATTGCAGGATCAACTGCATACAAAGCACTAACCATTCCATCACTGTACAACAATCACATAGTCACTAACTCACCAGTCGCCTCTTGTACTAAGAAAATTGAAATCAATGACACTATACCAATTAACATATCAATTCAATCTGATACCGAACCAAATTTCGGCTACATTAATACTTCTTCATTAATGGAATGAGTGAAAGACATGTTATGACTGAACATATAGTTTGCTTAGTGTAAATAATGTATTTAATTAACAAAACGCTTTATTTACCTTCAATTCACGTGTCATGCAATTCGATAATAATTTTATCATAATCGAATCGACTAATCACATTTAATTCTTGCTTATATAGAGGGAACATATGGAACTGAAAACAACCATCAACCAACATCAAAGTCACAACCATCAATACGAACGTCAACACAGTTCTACTGTATGTAGCTGATAATTCAAGAATTATTACAACCATCATCAAATGCACACAAGTATTTATAAACAATTGTCTATCCAAATACTTAATGTTCATTAGCCAGATACCATCAGCAATAGATTTGTGTGAAAGAATAAGCCAACTACCAGTTTTAGAGCAGACATTGGAAGTTAGTAGGACATACATTGAGGAAATCATCAAACTGAATCACGAAGCAAGCACTAAGTGGGAATCCTGAAGGAGAACGGAAAGTGGATATCCAAGGAACACACTGAGACGATTATTGGGAGTAGATATGAAAAGGATTACCCAGGACAGAGTTCGATGAAGAATGCTGGTTGGCGGCTTATTCTTGTTCACGAGGAGGAACAGGAGTAACTCCACGTAATACTCAGACATTAGCATTTGAATTTATATCTAAATGTATAATAACAACTTCCTTCCTGATACCACTATGACCATTCGAAGTGTTCATAGTGTTCATGTAATGTAATTCACAGAGCTAACCAGCTCGTATTCTGATAATCAAGTCCGAACCTGAACTGAAAACAGAGAATAAAACGAACTCAAAGATATGTAATTTATTGAAACTATGTAGTTAAGTATGTAAAAACAATTATCAAATTGTACAAGTACCACTGATGCAAGAATTTTCAAGTATCCGAAGAGATGTAATCGTCGATAAAGCGTACGAACGACAGAATTGATTTTGTTTCATGAACAAACTTTAGCGAATTAGTCCAGTCTCAAAAATTTATTTGCTTAGTGATTTCTATAGAAAGCTGATTTAGAATAAAATAATTTCGTTTTACATAAACTAAAAATGTTGTAAGTAGGTACTGAATTACACCGATTGATCTAAAAGACAGCCTTTTTATTACTTTGAAAAAGAATAGATTTATTTCCATAGACAATATTCATGCCAAAAATATTTACACACTTACTGAGAAATTATCTGTGGAAATGATTGATATTCAAGTAAGTACATTTGGCATAACTAATTAGGGGTTTGGTTTTTGGCACAATTTCAAATATTTACATTCTATTTCAATTACATTATATATATACATAATATGATCAATAAATCTATTACAATCATAACTGAATCTGACTCCCATTTTTCTCCATCTCTATGAATTTCATTTATTTCCTAGATTAATACTGTTTTATGATCAAATACAATTAACAACATCAGATCAAAAAGTCATACTTGACAAAATAGTTAATTGAAAATTAATACAGTTTATTTATTTTACACTTTGAAACGATATGACTTATATGGATTGATGAAATAAGAAAGAATATTGTATTGTATACGTTACCCAGGCGCATATATAAACAAAAGAAAGTAGTAACCATAAACTCAGTAAAAAAATAATAACTTTATCTATACAATGAAGATTATATAAAATAAAAATTAAAAAAAAATAAATAAATATTATACAAAAGATACATTTGATATACATACAATGAAGAAAAATAAATTATTGAAGTAAATGAGATGATTGTATAGAAAAGGAGTATTTCTCTTTCAGCAGCAACATTACACCAGATAAGATAAGATAAGATTAGATAACGAAGACTTCAAACATCAGTCACTAAATAATGAAGATAACTGAAGTATTAAAAAAAAAATAAGGGAACATCAATTAGCTGTTGACAATTAAATATCACAATATGTATGATACATTGTAAAATTAAGGGATATTATGAACCGTTGAAACAACGTGAAATATAGGTTATACAGTAAAAAAAAAACAACAACACAACTATGAATAGATTTCACCTCCGAATTGTTCAAAATCAAAAATTAATAAGAGTGTAACAGTGAGCAATGACAAGTAAAAACCTTTAAGCTTAAGAGGTTACAGTTACATTTACTAGAAAGAACAGAAACAAGAAAACATTTATTTAATTGTGGCATTCATCTTTCAGCCATCTATTATGTGATATATAACTCAATGACAGTAAACAAGCAATAGATAAATAGAATTTCTTAATATGGTCAGTGATATGATGGGAAGAAAAGTCAAGATTCGATTGATTTACTCATTATGAGTTTTGATCAAGATTACTTCTGTTCTGCTTCAATGTGGTGATCATTCAGTGTAGTAGATGTTTTGTTTTCTCGTATGATATTTTATTCTGTATATTCAATTGATATGAACTATGCTCAGTATGTGATTTATTATAACTCTAAGTTCATATATATATATATATGATTTCATCCTAATTATTAGTCAAAGTGTGTGTACAATCAATATATAAATGAGTATATTTTCGACTAGGGTCGTCGTCGTGTTTCGGGGGTTAATAAAGATTCACTTATACCAGTCTTTGTGTTCTTACTTTCACGTCGTGAGAATTGCGGAGGTCCCTCGTTCTGAGTTTAAGTGATAAGTGTTTCCGACACAACAATCAGTGATGACCGGATATAACAAGTAGCATTCAATTGACAAATTATAACAGTCAGTCAGCTGGTTAGAAATTTGGTCTCTTTAAATCTTTTTTAATTGAGATGAGATTTTGGTGTATTTCTTCAGTTCACTGTTGTATAAAATAAAAATTCATCACATCAAAAATATAATCCTTATAAATAAAGCCACTTAACAATTAGTCTAACGAAACTAACACTTGAAGTTAAGGAAGTTTATCATCAAGACATTTGAAAACTTTTTATAAATCCTATAACTATTCATTCAATTAGTGTTTCAGTCAAACTTTTGCTTTTTAGCATTCATTTTTAAAATACTTTAGATACTACTATCATGTATAATATGACAAGATTGATACTACAGAGAATTGTTTTGCATTTAAAGTTTGAAATGGATTAGTTTAACAAGAAATAATTAACAGTGTATCAACCAGCTAAAATACTGTAATATCGGTCATACCGATATATTATTTTCACACATCACATTTAACAATGACCATTTATACATTTAAGTTAATTTGAATTACCTTCGCATATAAGATTCTTTCAGTCGACATCCTTCAATATATTATATAGTCGTATTAAATACATGAAAATTCTTCTCCTAAAAAGAATTCGTCTTTCAAGTTAATCATCACAGAAAATATTTAAGATTAACAAAAAACATGGAACACATACAACATATCAACTCCGCTTGTAGTTCTTCTACGACTACTGCGTGCCCAAGCCCACACAAAGGAGGAGGGTTGGGTGTGGGGTCTGCAAACCGATCCAATACAAAACAACCTTGCTAAAAAACGTTAAACAGAATAATCTATTTAAACTCTGTCCTCCGAGTTGGATATAGAATTATAATGCTTCATGGGCTTCATGAGGCCTATGCCCCTCCTAGCAACCAGAGCAACAATTAATGTAGGTACATGGGAAATCCGAACAATGTAAAAGGCCGGGAGGACCAGTCAAATAGCTAAAAAAATGAGGAGATACAACTTGGAGGTCCTCAGAATCAGCGAAACCCATTGGATTCAAGCAGGACAAAAAAGACAAATTCGGGAGAAGTGCTGCTGTACTCTGGTGAAGAAGAGGAAAATGCTCTACACACTTAGGGAGTTGCTCTAATACTGTCCAAAGAAGCACGAAATGCATTTATAGGATGTGAATCTCATGGTTTCAGGATCATCAAAAAATCCCTCCAAACAAAGTAGTAGGGAATCATAATGAATTTTACCCAGTATTATGCACTCACCAGTGATAGCAACGACAACTATAAAGATCAGTTTTACGAGAGGCTGCAATCAATCATAGCGACCTGACAATCCTGACGGGAGACCTAAACGCCAAAATCGAAATGGACAACACCGGGTATAAAGATATCATGGGATGACATGGACTACGAGAAAGGAACGAGAATGGTGAGAGACTCGCTAATCTATGTGGAATCAACAAAATGATTGTAGGCGGCACTATATTCCCACACAAACACATACGCAAAGCTGTATGGATCTCACTAAACCACACCACGCAGAACCAGATAGATCATGTTTGCATCAGTAAAGAAAATTCAGGTCAATGGAAGACATTAAAACTAGAAGAGTGGGATTGTGGATGCGCACTGCTGAGGAGTCCCACAACAGGACGAAACGGCCGTCCTGTGCTTCCAGGTTTTCAATGGTGATCTAACATCAATCAGTTCATGATCTCATTCTAGATTCCGCTGCTAACCACCTCTTACCTATATTATATAAATCTCTTACAAAAACAAAATAATAAATAATATTTGATATTTTACTCAATCATAACCTTTATAAACCATTATAACAAGTTTATTCAATTTACTTCTTTTTAAATATCTTCTACTGCATTGTTCACAACCAAACCTCACTCCTAAAAGTATATTTTATTGCAAAAGGAAAAATAAGAAACAAATTCAGTGGAATTATTCTATTGCCACTCATAGTAAAATAAATCCATCATGATTCTGTGATAGATATCATCTGAAAAATGTGATAAACATTCACTCGGTGTTGTTTTTTTAAACTTGTATCTTCCTATTGTAACTGATCAGTCTCTTGTTGGCATGTGCATTCTGTGCAGATTGCCTTGATATTGCCTTAAGTTACAAGCTTTTTAAGTAAATATGGTTAGTGGATATTAGTGGAATCTAGGACGCGCGTTTCGTCCTAGATTCCACTACTAGCCACTATCCATCTTTGCTTATTCACTGAAACATTTATGAGAACATTCAACATTAGTGACTATGGATCTAAGATGAAATATCTAAGAATTGGAGTTAGTACAATGTTAAATGTGTTGATTACTACTAAATCAAATTTTGTTACATTTTCATTTAACGCTAATCACAACAATAACCAATCGATGTTGCTATTCATACACGTCATCTGAGTAAAATTGAGTAATACTCCTTGATAACATTTCACAAAACAAACAATTAATTATTCAAGAAGATAATCCAAACAGAAATGTAATAATTTATGAGACTTTATAATTTATATAATGTGCTTGAATTAATAGTGTCGATCACTGAGTTGAATATGTGATTCAATAGATGAATTCAGAATGTTTTATGCAATAAATGATAGTTTCATAATTCTTCAAGCTAAACGATTCAATGGAACAACACTGAATAAGAGCAATAAATTAATTATTTCGTATATAAAAGTGATTTACATGAAAAGTATAAGTTAACTTATGATATAATGAAAGTGTAATCCAGCATATAATTGCATGACGAAATATCATTATCATCATCAAAACTCACTTGGATGGACTTTTTTCAGGTGTTCCTTTAAGTTGGATTTAGAGGAAAACCTTCTATTACATTCATCGCATTGATATTTTATTCCTAATGAAAAGATAATCGTTAATATTAGTGAATTTACTTAAACAAACTTAATATCAATATTTAAAGTGATGTTGATATAGTAAGCCAGTCAGACGTGACCAAACATGAAGATTACACGATGACGATCAGAAGTGACCTGAAGGACAAGTGCATATACCGGCTAAGAAAACGATTGATTTTCTAAAGGGTAGAGGCGCATATATATAAATGAGTATTCATGTATATTACTCGGTAGCTTGATATACTTTCTGGGCCACTCTTGTGTTCTCGCTTAAGTAGTTAGGTGGGAGGTTAGAGAGTAGGATATCGTGTGTCTGTATCAGATTTCGGACACTTCCCATCATAACATATATAATATTGGTTTACAAACTACACATATATGATTTCAATAAATATATTGATAAATGAAAAACCTTATATGCAATTTAATGTATGAAAAATAAAGACACTCAGAGAGATTGACAGTTCAGCACTATTATTATCATTATTCATTTTATTTTATTTTTATTTGTGTTATCATTAACCTTATTTTCACATCCATTATTTGTTTGTAATTTCCAGCCTCTTTGTATTCTTCACTATCTAATTATTTACACACATCTTATTACGTAATGATTTTAATGTTTTGTGATTACTATTCCTAGTCTATTTACCCATGTTTATTTGACCTTCTATTTCCAACGATTAACTATTGATAAGAGTTTTGTTATTGTATTTTCAGCGAAGGGATCTCTTTTCAACGAATTTATTATCAAGCTGTACAATCGTTTGATAATAAATTCGTTGAAAAGAGATCCCTTCGCTGAAATTCGTGTTTTAATTTTAATGTTTAAATGGGAATTATCTGTTATTGTATTTTATTATTCTCACTATGATCAGTTGACCTGTCTTCCTACTATCAACTTGTACTTTTACCTACTATGTGTAGTGACTTATTCTATTTCATTGTGATTATTGATTCATATTGCCTTGATTGGTTTAAAAAATTTTCTTATAAATATTCATGTATATTAGAGTAAAGCCTGATGACGATCTAATTGAAAACAATATTGTTCGCTTATATGTGTTGTTCTAACTTGTATTCCACAATTTCTGATCCAAACTCTACAATCTGGAAATAAGGTCGCATAAACTTCAATCAATAAAAACCTGAAAAAATGTCAACTTTTAGGGTGTCATATCACAATTTCAGTGAATTCAAGTTATTGTATGAGGTAATTTCTTAACTTTTCAGTAAGAAATAATAAACAGAAATTTTGTATCATATCAAAATTGATACAGTTTATGAATGATTATTGTGCAATATTACAATTGTACTGAAATTAGAAATATCAACCAATGGTTCTAACATTCAGTATTTAATAGATACTGTCCTCATCATGAAATTTAAAATTCCCTTATCTTAATGTAACTCAATTTATTTGACACGATAAATATAATAAATGAGAATGTGGATAATAATAAAAAATGGGCGAGACTATAATTTCTGAACGAACCAATCAGATCTAAGATAACAGTTCTGAGATTTTGGCGCGAAATTCATTCACTTATTTGGCGAAATAGTGTCTTGGCATTGTAGCTGATGCCAGTTCGTGATGAAAACCTTAAATCTAACTCCTGACCCTAACCATCAACTGTAAATTATAATTCTTATTCTTTAAGCTGCTTTATAACCCTCATTTAGCCCTAGTAAGTAAATAAACACTCTCAAGGTCACTATAGTGTCGCTCAAACGCTGTCCATAAATGATAGTCTCATCAAAAAATGTTTTGAAATCTTATATTTTATACTATAGAACACTATTTCATTACTTATTAATTAATGAAATCGATGAAAGTTGTCATACGTTTAAGTAGAAAGAAAATGTGAAAACGTTTTAAATGTAAAGTGAGAACATCATAACACACCTTCATGAATTACTTTTACATGTTCATTTAAATTAGAGTTTGTTGTAAACTTTCGATCACAATGATTACATGTATATTTCATTCCTGATGATGAAGAAAACAAAAACCCAATGTGATAACTACTAACAATATTCAACGTATTTGTATAAATTCAATATCAGTATTATTTTAGGTTATATATTAGTGGATTAAATTGTTTTTAAGAAAAATATTATTTGAATAAAAGGCCATATGGAAAACTAGTACCACTCAAGTAGACTTTAAGTCAATTAGTATTATATAAGGGATGAAGACAATCATAATGAAGTACTTTGACAATACAACAAAAGCTTCAATATCTATTTCACGAATCAAAAAGAAAAATAGAAAACAACCAACATTGATCACTTTCATACACTATATTACATCTGTTTAGCCATACAAAAATGTTGAACATTAAAAACAGGAGAATATGATTGGAAACCCTAAGATCTAAAACATATAAAAATTATATTGTTGTTGGAACGATCTAAAGTATTCATTGAAAAAAGTTCAGATGGGCGTTAAAAACACTGGAAAACCCAATCATCATTGAACTGAAGTTACTTAAAAACATGTAGAAAGTGAGAAGTCACGTGTTACATTCCTGATTGAATGATTACCTATCCTGTTACTATGTTTAGTACGGTTTCAGGAACTTCCAGAAGCCCAAGGCCATCTGAAGTACTATAAACACCCTCGATTTTCTGTACATAAACTAACCTCGGAGTACAGTGTTTTTGTACACTTCTCTCCTTTTCGAACCCGGAGTTATTAGAAAATGTTAGAAAACTGATGCAAGAGTTCACTTAGAAGACTTATCAATTGTCAAGGATGATTTACGTACAATCTCACTATTCATTGTAATACCTACTTTTCATTCAGACACTAATATAATTCATCTTTTACAGTGTACTTTGACGCATTATTCACTTAAATGAAATGGTTTTGTCACGTAGTTGCTTCCAAAGTAAAATTGTTTCCAGGATTCTCTATTATTTAATGAAACCTTCGAATAGGACCAACATTAATACATATGTACGCAAGGTGAACACGAAAAAAAATTACATAAAAACTAACCTTCATGAATAGTTCTGTGATGTCTATTTAAATTTCCTTTATAAGTAAACTCTTTGTTACATAAATTACAAGTAAATTTCAAACCTAGTGAAAGAAATAATAAGAATTTATAAAACACAAAAACAAACCATTTGATAAATGATTATAAATTGTCACTCTATAAAAAAATATGCTAAATATACACAGCATATATCACACAATTGTTCTACAATGAAGCCGCTGAAAAACTAGCACAGTAATCACTATTCAACAGTCTCTGATACCGACCGAACAACTTAAAAATGTTTACAGATTAAATGCAGCATATATACACATGTAAACATTTCATAAATCCTTATTGATACCAGTTGTTAGAACTAATAAAGGTAAACACATCAACAATTAATCACTTCATAGGTCATGATCATAAAAACAATGTATTTTAAATAAAACAATTAAACGGTTAACCAAAATCAGAAAACACCTTGATTCAGTGTTTAGTCAAAAAGGGGTTTGATAAATGAAATCTCACTAACAAAAACAACTAATACTTCACAATTTGTCAACACTTGTGGTATTTAAATTGAACGACGAGTAAACCTGACAAGAAAATTGTATGATATCGTTTACACTATGAAAGCTAGAAGTTCCGTATCCTATGATAACACATATCACTCAATACTTTTTACCATGGTACATTAATTGTGAACAAGAAAAATAATTCAAAATTTGAGTGCTTTACACACGAAAATCGCTACTTTATAGTAAACAAAGAAATAAAATTGCATAAAGCATTTGGATTTTTATAAAAGTAAACGTGAAATTTAATTATCAGTATAGGGTTGTGGAAACTGTTGGATTTTTATTGAGATCATGAACCGATCAATTTCAGGCCACCACTGAAAACCTGTAAGCACTGGACGGCCGTTTCATCCCAGTGTGGGACTCCTCAGCAGTGTGCATCCACGATCTCACACGCGGGACTCAAACCCAGGACCTTCGGTCTCGTACAAACGAATAACCTTTGAGACCAGTGAGCTGGGATCCAACGGTGTTAATGCATAACTTCAATCAATCTACGATATTGCATAATCTACCAAACACAATGGAAGATAGTCGCACAATATCGTTGATTGATTCAAGTTAGACATTAACAACGTTGGATCCCAGCTCAGTGGTCGTGAAATTTAATGTTTATTTACATGTAAAATAATGTGATTCAATATGAAATAATCAGAATGCATACAGTAAATCAGTTTCATAGTAGTGCAAATCATTATCCACCACCAAAACTTACGCTTATGAATAACTTTTACAGGTATATTTAAACTGCATCTAGATGCAAATTGTTTATCACATTGATAACATGGATAGTTTTTTCCTAATAATAATCAGAAGAAAAAACAATTATTTAATATTAGTAAATGTTTTAAAAGCGAATTCAATATGATAGTCTGAAGTTATTTATTAATGACATACAACAATACAAATGTAATTTTGATAAGTTTGGTAGATGAACACTAATTCCTATTTTCTAGCCGCTTCTAATAATTCTAAACTAAATCTACAAGGCAAATCGACAACACGAGAAAAGGAGCAAAATGAGAAAAGAACGCTTCCGTTTAAGGTTAGTTTATGTACTGAAAAACGATGTTAATTATAGAGATACACAAAACCTTTGGTGCTTCTGGAAGTTTTTGGAACCATGTTGTATGTAGTAGCAGTAGATGCAAATATCCAAGCAGAAACGTGACTTTACTTTTTAGATATTTCTGAGCTTCTACTCGGATAGTGTTTCCAAGAGCTTTCTAGACCCCTATAGACTATTTCCAAGGAATACTTATGAACTCACCAACAAGTTTAAATAAGCATGTCAATTTCACAACAGAAAAATTATGAGTCGAGTTAAAGTTATACTTATTGTGTAGGGAACAGACCCAAACAAAGCATAATGTGCGCAGATCGAGAAATAAAGACCGGTAAGAAAAACTATGAGCGAGTAGAGAAGCGAGCATTGGCTAATGCATTCGCAATAAAAATGTTTCATAAAATATTGTATGGTCGAATTAAGAGTTCTAAAACTCATATTGTGAATGGTAAACTCCAGAGGACACTGACAACTATCTAAATATCACCATATCTTCCAGTTTGGTTAGTGATAGAAAAGTCTGTTTTGAAGAAGTTTGGATTTTTTTCAAACACTACTAAATATGACAATCATTGCCATCAGCAAGCAACTTGAATCACATATTCACTAACAAAAACTGAATTTTGGCGACGACAAATAACAAAAGACAGCTATTACAACTCATCAAGGAAACAAGAATTAAAAACCAAGTTGTTACTGAAACTATTTCGGAAGCAAATAGATAAATTATTTATTCTATCCAAATTAGACTAGTGGGTAGAATACTTTGAGTGAAAGTTCATCTGGTATCCCGACACCCACTACCTCCAAGTAACTTGAATAATAAAGTGACTCAACCTCGACAACTGCAGAGCGGTCTTCATACGTCGGTAGTGCTTTTATTGAAGGAAGATACTGGATGTCCGACGGTAAAACCGAGCCGACAGATACAAACAGTTTATCTAAGGCAACAGAAACACTATCATTTCAAACCAAAGGCACAAATCGGCACTAGAATCTTAGAACAATCAATGGTACATGAACATAATGAAGTCACTCGTTCTCGCGATAGACGCGGTTGTAACGCTGCTTTACTGCCTTAAAGAGTTATCCAACCTCAACTTGATGAGGTCACAGTATATAACCATACGTAAGACTGCTTTCACCGACACGATGTAAACAACATTCTTTTACAGCCAAATCAACACCACGACGGTGCTAAAGATGGGTCATATTGATATCCATCACTCTGGCTTTCCCTATGACTAAATTTATCTCCTTTTACCACGACACCAACAGTATTCACATAAGTACGCAGATACAAAAACCTATTCACTATTTCCAATGCCTCACCACAAAGAGTGAGGCCAGTTAGTCTATAGAAATATTTTGCATTTAGAAGGTGTAAAGTATGTGGTGGTCGGTATTTGATATAATCTTTAACTTCGTATACAATTCATCTTGCTAACCGTTCTGTATAACGCCCCAACGGTATATTAATCAGAAGGCAAATACGAAGTGTTGATTACGTTTATTGAGAGACCACACACATATCCAAATGTACAGATGCGTTAAACAAGCATAGGAGAGTTGTGCCGAAAGGCAATCAAGCGAGCGAGAGCCAGAGCAAGAGCGAAACGAGAGTGTAAGTGTTGAATATAAATAACATGGTCATATATATATATACAGTGAAATGAATGAGTAATCGAATCAAATAAGCGGTTAGTAGTAAGACTAGCATAGTGAATAAATGCGTAGGCAGTAAGCAATATTCAAGCCTACTTATTTCATACAAGCACAGAATAATAAGGGTACAATAAATTGTTATAGTGAGGATGACTTTGTCCGCTAAATAAGTTAGCAAAAGGGCTTAGCTGAGTTAAATGAGAATAAACTCATTTGCACGTGAGTCGCCATAAGTATATGTCACACCTAAATACACTGATTACCAACCGATTAAAAGAGATATACTTCGGATTTTTATAATCACACAGCAAGAAGATGGTCATCCACATGCTCAAGACCAGAAATAGATCATCTAGATCATTACTTAGTCCCTTTAGAGGCATTTTCAGAATATCGTCGATGAAAAAGTTAGAGATGAGTGGTGAGATTGGGCAACCCTGTCTAAGGTCACAAAATTTTATTAAAAGTTTACGAAATGTTGAAAATGACTTAATTTTAAATTAGGCATTGAATGAGACATGATAAAACGTATACAGCATGCAACTAAGTAGTGAAATACCATTATCATTAGCATAAATCACCCTCATGGATCACTTTCATATGTTCAATTAAATGAAATTTAGATGTAAACTCTCCACTACACTGATTACACGCATATTTCAATCCTGACTAGAAATAAACAACACTTCACTTCATAAATTTTCAATTGTCATATACACATTCGGAACGAATTCTTTCGATAATTTCTCCCGTTACAAGTATTTAATCAAGTTGGATAGTAGATAACAGTGGAAACCAGATAGTGAACTTCAACCTATATGGGACTCATCAGTTGGATATGCTTATATTTCATTGTTGATGTTCACACTTAAACTTGAAGACAGTAACTTTCGCTCCAAACAATGACGAGTTATTCGTTGAGCTACAAAGTTCAGATATCCACGAACTAATTCAATAATCATGAAGTTATAAACCAATAAGCATTTCAGTTTTCGCATTATCGACATTTCTTTTTTTCAAAACTTTACGATTATATTCTAAGCAAACGAAAAGAACTTAAAACCCAGCACAACTGAAATTACGAACACCCGTATGATCACATGATATTTTTAACAACCAATAACATAAATATTACAAATACAAAGATAATTCAAAAACGGTTTTCTAACTATAAACAAAAGTTATTAGCTGAACATTTTCGCATATTGCCAAACACAACTGTGATCAGTAGAAAAGAAGCGCCAATCATCCATGCAACTTGAACTATCTATCTAAAGAACTCCATTTTACTTGTTGAAATCTTACATTATTGAACATGAACACATCAATTTGAACAGACCACAATGCAAATATGACATATTTCACAATCACTCACACAAGAATGCGTTCAAATACGTCTTAATTAGGATCAATTTTCCCCTGAGAGAGAGACATCTCTGTTAGTGTAAAATGTTTAGTTTCTTTCACTGTACTATATAAATCTCAGCTGATTTGATTCAGTTATCAGTTAAGTGACGAAGCAACCAACACTAAGTCACGAAGCGTCAAACACTCAGTTTTATACTATGTGGGATATTATAAATATGTTAATTTTGTCAAGTGACAGCAGTAACAAATCATTGGCTGGTGAGCGCAGACAAATAACAAGTAGGCATAACAAAAGAATGTTCCACTTCTAAAACATCCACTTAAGATGTCTACTTGGATTTCAAGCAATGACAGTTTGTAATTCGGGTGAATGAATAATTTTTCTGGCCTATAATTCGGCTCTTAATCGTTCAGTCGAATAGCATGTAGTCTACGTATCATGTCATCTGAACGAATAATTTAATCACGCAGTGTATCCGACCATTGAGCAGTATATTATCCAGTCTAGTGTTAGTATATATATATATATATATATATATATATATATATATATGCAAGTCAAAGATCATTATCAGCATCATAACTCACTTTCATGAATAGATTTCACATGTTTATTTAGATGAGATTTACTTGTAAACGTTTTATCACATTGAACACATGGATATCTTATTCCTAATAATAAAAAAAAATCATTATTATTGTTGTTATCGATAACTGTACTTATATAAATTTAATATAGCTCTAATGCACCCTGCATTGAGTAACCAACAAATCACTTATGATGTATTGCAGTTCTTATCTTGATCCACATGATAACATTACTTTTGATTCCTAGTTCAAGCATTATGAAAACTTATTTTGTGATAGATTAGCTAATTAAGTTGATACATAGAGGATAACAAAATTGAAGCAAGAACTTCGTATCTGTGATCATGTAAAGTGACCAAATCTTATATTAGCATGGTATCTGTGTTATCGTAATTTTAAAAACATTGGTACAGACACACATACGACATGAATAATAACATTTGAAAACAAGAACTATAAACAGATAGAAAACGAAGCACTAAATAATATGTTTTTGATCAGAAAGGTTCATAAAATAGTATGTAGTCGATATTTTTGTATTTTCGGAAGTCACAAAGTTCGAACTAGCCATTTTTGGCTCCAAAAAACGAATTTTCCAACATTCAGTAAGCCAATTACAAAGGTACACTACCTGTTTGATGGATCACAACATACATAGGATTTCCTCCAGGCGTACTATTTGTCGCTTTTTTAGAGTACACATTCGAAGTTACCTAACAAACGTGTTTCGAGCTACACTAGTCAAGACTGCATATAATAAAGGCGCGACAAGACTTGACATGACAAAAAGTTATAAAATACATAAACCATAGATAGCAAACAAAACCATACAACGGTAAATCACATAATCTTTAACAACAAAAACACGGTTTGTCCGTTATTGATTCACGGTTAACGTTTCCCAATCGAATGATGGTTCACCAATGTGATAGCATAACGATAAGTAAACTGATCAGAATAGACCAAAAGATCATGAATTAAGTCAGACACTGCAGCCGATCTTATCGAGCTGGGAAGCATACTACAGAACTGACTTCATAACCAAGGATACAACCACAGACGCCGTGGTCACGTGTTCACACCTATTCTGAGAGTCAACTTAACAACATTAAGTAACTGATGCCAGTTGATGCAACTTAAAAATAACCAGTAGCCATCGTCATGACTTATGCAATAACGTCTTTCCATAGTTAGGAAAGGAAGATGAGAAATTGCTTGATGCATCAAACCATCAAGCCGGATTAGAGACCTCTCTTACTCTGAAGATGAATGTTATGTCGGTTACTGCTATGTCTGCGAAACTAACTAATATAACTTTTTGGGTTCGCCAATCAGAACTTCGGTAATAATCCTTTTCTACTCTGAGTATGCTATTCCACCCATAGCCTAGCGCGCTCAGTCTTAGTCAATGACAAGTTCTGACCGACACAATTAATCGTGAGCTAAAATAATTTCCGCCCCGTGTGCTTCTCCAGCAAATATGCCGTCTTCTATTCATAGCCTTGAGTTAAAAAGAGAAGACTACAACCAAGCTCCTACTATTATTTTATTTCAACCATCCATCCTAGATTCTAGCCATAGCACTCATGAGATACCAGACATCGCACCATAAGACAGAAAATTACAGATATACATAAACAGGTCAAAAATGTCAGTGAAACACGGGGTGCTTTAAATAACTGGTCTGTAACAAATCGGAAATAATAAGACATTTAGTAATAGTTAATGACTCGAACGGAAGATTACAATAAACAGAATGTGGAAATATGGTAGTTTAGTTATTCACTAATTATACAGTAAAAGTATAAACAAAAGTCTGAAATATAGTTTCAAAGGTTCTAACTTTCTCAATATATGTTTCGAAATTTAGAAAACAACATTAAGTAAAATCTTTACAATTCAACCAGTAAAAACTCTGATGAAATGAAATTCAAGAAACAATAGCGTATTGGGAAATGTATTATTTCTTAATATTTCTATCAATCATAAAATGAATTTTTATTAATAGCCTGTTCGGATTTTTAAACTGTACGAGTATCATCGAGTCAAGCTTCAAAAAACTAGTATCACAATTAGAGGATTCTCAAGGACACTCTTAAACACGTACAAACTCTCGCCCACTCAGTTGACCATTAAGAAAAGGTTCATTTTGAGAAAGCTCGATATGATATCAAAACAGTAGCAAATACTCCAGTAATCTTCACTAGCGACTTGAATCACAAGGTGACAAAAATACCGGTGGATTTCGGTGACATCAACATAATTGATAGATACCCGAAAAAATATGTTAGTAGACTCAGAGAACGATGAAAAACGAAGACGACTCTGAGGTAGACTAACGAAAATTGTACGCAGTGACTGCAAGCAATGCTGAGTGACAAAAGTAAAAGAGATAAAAAAGGCAGTGTGGATAAGCGACCTAACACATAAAAAAAACAGTAATTGAAGTGCCAGTTGTGAGATTGCATCAGATATCAATGGAGCTGCAACAAACTTGAATGATATAAACATAACGGAAAGGTCGGAAATTGACTTGAGAGAACGAATTTCAGTGATTTTTAAAAAATGGAGAACATCGGATACTGCTACACCTAGAGAAGCGCCAACTTCTCATACATTCAATCAAGTCAGTCAGTCAGTCAGTAACAACGTAGAACTTAGTACGTACGTACATCAGTTCGAGTTGCCATACCACCTTAACACAGAGATGCAGTGGTCGATTCAAATCCCGTAGTGGGGCCTACTTAATGATAGTCAAGCTAAGAGTATATTTCAGGAACAACTAGGAAAACAGTTAGGCAGCCATGTATGTGATGCCCACCCCGAGGCAGCATGGAATGATATCCGAAAAGCTGTGGAAACAGCAGTGATATCTGTTAGTAAGGTAAACCAGAAGGTTAGGGAGCAACACTGGATCTCAGCAGCATCTATCGCACTGATAGATGCTCGGAAACTCATTCCACCTGGCTCTGAACATAGTGAAGAGCGGAGTCAGCTTAAGCGCAAACTGACAAGAAGTCTACGCAATGATCGCGAACAGTGGTGGGTAGCGAAAGCAAGAGAGATGGAAAAGGCAACGGCAATAGGTAATAGCAGACAATTGTTTAGACTCGTTAAGGAAACCGGAATTAGGAACCCGACTGTTAGCGAAACAATCTCAGAGAAAGATGGACATATTATTCATTCTCAATCCAGGAGATTGGATCGATGGGCAGAACACTTTAGGGATCAGTTCAACTGGCCTTCAGCCACACTTCGGTTTCCCACGATCCCCAGTCAACCTGAATGGCAAGTTAATATACGTCCTCCGTCTCTTTATGAAGTTGAAAAAGCCATAGGAAATCTGAAACGAGGGAGAGCAGCAGGCTCTGACATATTTACTCCTGAGATTTTTAAGGATGGTGGTCCAGTATTAGCAATGAGATTAACCGAGGTCTTAGGTAGAATTTGGGAACTGGACGTAATCCCATCTGACTGGTCTCAATCACTGATTGTGCCAGTTTTTAGGAAAGGACAAAAGTCCTCTTGTGACAATCACAGAGGAATCAGTTTGACTAATATAGTGTCTAAAATATTAGCTTCAATAATACTTCGACGCCTAATCAAAGCTCGTGAAGAGCAGACTCGAGAAAATCAGGCAGGTTTTCGACCTGGACGTGGTTGTATAGACCAGATATTCACACTACGTCAGGTTCTAGAACACAGACACACGTTTAGACGCCCCACAATGGTAGTATTTCTCGACCTTAAGGCGGCATTCGACTCTGTTGATCGTAAGGTTCTATGGCAGTGTTTGTCACTGAAAGGAGTACCAAAGAAGTACATTAACCTTATAAAGGCTCTCTACTCGAACACAACTGGTAGAGTGAGAGCTTATGGCGAACTGTCATCAGAATTGATTACCTCAAGTGGTGTTCGTCAGGGCTGTCCACTCTCCCCATTCTTGTTCAACTTTGTGGTCGACGTACTTTTAGAGATAACACTCTCCTCATCTAAATTTCCGGGGGTTGAACTTCTACCGGGAGGTTCACTTGTTGACTTAGAATATGCCGATGACATAGTTTTATTTGGTGAAGACGCTGACAAAATGCAGAGTCTTCTGACCACTCTAAGCAACAATGCAAGCATGTTCGGGATGCGATTCTCTCCCTCGAAATGCAAAATGTTGCTTCAGGATTGGGTTACATCGACACCCGAACTAGTGATAGGGAGTGAAGTAGTTGAGTGTGTCGACCGCTTCACTTATCTTGGAAGTCTCATCAGCCCTTGTGGTCTGGTGTGTGACGAAATCTCAGCACGGATACAGAAGGCTCGACTAGCTTTTGCCAACTTGCGTCATTTATGGCGTAGGCGAGATATCCGTCTATCAACCGAAGGACGTGTTTACTGCGCAGCAGTTCGTTCCGTCCTACTTTATGGCTGTGAAACATGGCCGGTAAGAGTAGAGGATATTCGTAGGTTACTAGTATTTGATCATAGGTGTCTTCGAAGTATTGCTCGTATATCCTGGGACCACCGAGTAAGTAACGCAGCTGTTAGGAAACGGGTACTAGGTAAGGATGGCAAATCAATTGATGAAGTAGTGAAACTTCATCAGTTGAGATGGCTGGGACACGTGTTACGTATGCCCAACCACCGACTACCTCGACGTGCTATATTCAGTGGTATAGGAGTAGGTTGGAAGAAAGCTAGGGGCGGCCAGACCAAAACATGGCACAAATCCATGAAGTCACTGACAAGTGGACTGAGTCATGTTGGTAGGTGTAGACTACCTGGTTGGGGACCGCGAGATGATAGCAACCGATGGTTAGAGACCCTGAATGACATGGCTCAAAATCGTTTGCAATGGCGCAGGTGCATCCACTCTCTATGTTCTCCCAAATTCTAATTATCTGAATTCTTCATGCCCCTTTTTTTCCTCTTTCCAAATTTATTTCACTGGATTATACTCGTTAAATAACATCTCCACTGCTTCGATCGAGGAAATATTTAAGCCATTCAAAAAGTGGATTCAACAAGAAATATTACCTCACTGTAAGCATTCCTTGGAATGATAATTCATTACAGTTTTTGTTTCTGCACATGATGAATACGCTGCATTCAATCAATTATTAAAATAGAGTGACATTAGTCACTAGAATCTGAACAACTGAAATGATAACCACTAAAAGTTTACGATATAAACCATGAAACTAATGAAGCCTAGACGTACTGGATTCGATCTCATATGAACTTGTGTGAATGTACAGTAAAGAACACCTAAAATGTAAACAAACAATGATCTACTACGCTTCACAGTTCACAGTGATCTTCCAATTGATATCAGTCTCGGATAGAAACCTAATACAATCGAACAGGACGATCTCCACAAATCCCGTATCCCTACATAACATATTTAGTCTGGATTAACAAAAAAAGCACAGTACATGGAAATATAAATGAATATAAACGTAAAAATGATTTCAGTAAAAAATGCTTATTTAACAATGATTTGATGAGAATATACGGCATGCAGTTTCAAAGTTAAATATCATTACTATCAACACAACTCACGATTATGAAAAACTTGAATATGTTGAGTCAAGTTGGATTTGCAAGCAAACTTTCTATTACATTGACCACAAGGATAATTTATTCCTAGCATAAAAAGATAATTATTATAGGTGGTAAATTTATTAACATAAATTCAACATCAATATGTAGGATCATTTAAGAAAGGTTTACAGTACATTTTATTTAAATTTGTCCACTTCACAAGAGAAAGAATACGAACGAACGAACAACCGCTAATGTAGTAGACTTTTAATCATACTGATTGTATAGGTAGTGAAAACTTCCACGGTGATTGAAAGTCAAGTACATTAACAAAACAATTAGAGCCACATCCTCCAATTGACTCATACAGAAATGTAACGTCGAAGATTAATATTTTCTACACATTACAACATAACTGAGTGATAGCTCAACAGTGCATGCCACCAAACGCCCTGGTACGGCTGAGTGTGGGAAGAGCCCGCTCTCTCTCCAAATGTTCTCACATGGCCACGCGAATACAGCCAGTACCACGAATCCCTACACACTGCCTTTTCGCAACAGGGGTGTTGCTTACGAAATTGACAGGACGAAAAGCGGACGTCCGCGTCCACCTAGGGGAGTTGCAAAAAACTGATTCTAAACCAATCGTACACATGGACTCCAGGATCCTGAAGGAACAAATGGCGTATGAACCAAGCGTCTGTCACAGGCTACCATGGGACCGCATCACCTGACCTGACGTTGCTCTACTGCATTGTAGGTCAGACCTTTAGGTCGAAGGCTCCGGGAGTGGTCCCCTAAGAAAACCACCTGCTTCGGTCTCGGCACCAGAGCAGTATCATAGCCCATAAATCAAGTGACTTGTGTGGTGCATATGTATTCGGTGCCCCCTTGTACCGGTATTTAGGTGTTTAAATAAATTAATCAACTGTTATAGCTTGTGGCCTGTGTGCCCTGTTAATGTATAACGTAATGATACCGCCAATTAGAAAGCAGTGACCTATCGATCGGATCACAGATGCGTAAACACGTATGAGAAGTCTACAGTCCTTATTGGTCCCGCTTCCTGTCTAGCCCAGCCAGCTAAGTCCAGAACACCATTCTCAGCCTCTGCAATATCAATCATTTATTTCAAACACACTCGGTTTATAATGCCAACCAGACAGATAACATCGTACCATAGCATAGGAAACAACATTTGTACAAGATTTAGCCAAATATGGCTGTGAATGTGGGAGGTAGTGAGTGATTAATAGACAGGGCATAATTCAAGAATGGTAGATCGTATAATAATAGTTCATAGGTCAAAGTAAAGCTCATAATAAGAGGGAAATGAATATGAATAGTTTAGTTATTTAACAATCATACGATAAAAATATACGCATAGTATTGGTCCATAAATGGATCCCAAAAGTTACCATTCATTATTTTTATCGGGACATAACATTAACTAACAGTGCAAACTATTTAGACTATAAAAACAGGAAAGTATTATTTAAAACTCGAGGCTCAAAGACCTCAAAATGTTTATTGATCACTGCCTGCATTTATCAGCTACGATACTGCCTGTATCCGCAAAGTGAATCAGGTGATTTGCTCAGACCACCATTCTCTGCATCTTTGACATAAAACGTCTACTCGACAAGACAGAGAAGCAACATCAGAAAATACAATCTCACAATAGCGAGTGATCAGAAAACATACTTACGTTTGTTCTCTCATGATCCTAAAGATAGTGCATACTATTCTTTTCAGATCAGTGTTTTCCAACAACATTAGGTGAACCCTTCGAAACTATAAACCAGATAAGAGTGCCAGACGCTCACTCTTCGTTCACTTATTTTGCTAAAATCATCTTCCAATGTAATGATAATCAACAGTACTTTCCTAAAACAGTCAACTTTCGTTCGACCGTACCACATTAATTTGTTACTATAAACTGAACATGTTATTTTATGTCGACTGAAATTTCTAATCATTTTGGCTTCTTTAAAAAACAGAAAATCCCAAATGCATATCTAACGAAATACATTTAATGAATAATTTATGATTTTCCGATATCATTAACTCATCAATTTCTAATCATGTCTTTACATTGTAATCTATCTGTATTCACAAGTAAATGTTGTATTAGGTGAACAATAAATAGTCAATTGTTTGTATGTTTGACCGAAATTTACTGATATGATTGAACGTTATTACGAGTTCACCTTAATCGGTAAACGGAACGAAGGTCAAAAATACAGTGATACGATAGGCTATACTAATCCATTGTTCCCGACCCTGTTAACTAGATCAAGAAGTCTTGATGAGGCGTAGAGAATGTATTCTACAAGCACCCAGAAAATACGAGGTCCTAAGCACACAAATCAAGTTTATTTATAAAGTGATAGAAACGCCTTTGGGAAAGCCACAAAACAGCGTACTAAAAAAATCCGTCAACCAATGACAATCAAGGATTTCCGAGTGGGAAATGTAAGCTGTAGGTCAACTAAGCGTCTCTTGGAGCGAAAACATAAAATTCAAATTTTCAGAATAAAATTACAAAATTAGGACCTTTTCCAAGTGAATTCTGGGGATCTAATATCCTTAACACACTTCCCCCTTTCGATAGCGTACTTTCCTGGGGTCAACTTGCATCTTGACTGCTGTCCACCGCTGTCGGAGAGGCCAACTTCTGGAGCGGAGATCAGTTTGTAGTTGGGCTTTTTCTCGTGGTGGGGCTATCGGTAAGTCGAAGGTATCAAGCAGGATGTCAAGAGGAAGATTAACTCCTGTTGATGGGCGGTCTGGGGCTAGCCGTCTGAGTATCTGATTCCGATGGCGTGATCATCTATCGCCTCCTACCTCTACTTCGTACACGACATGGCCTATTTCTTCTGACTACTCGCGCTTCTGTCCATGGACCATGGGGTTGCTCCGTAGTCACGGGCAAACACAGGACATCCCATTTCGTATGTGGATTGCTTTTCAGATTTTGTCTGTACTGGTGTTGATGCATTACTCGGATGCGACGGGTCGTGGATCGTTATCAGTCTTCTTCCCATCAAGATTTCTGCTGGGGATTTTCGCTCCCGTACCGCCTCATTTGGTGTTGTTCGATAAACGAACAAGAAATTTCGCAACGCGTCAGCTGGTGTTCTCTTCCCTTTTGACCTCTTTTAAACGTATCCACAAACCTTTCCACTTGCCCATTCGACTGCGGGTGGTATGGTGGCGAGTGTAAGTGCTTTATGGCTAGCCGTTGACAGAAAGCCTGGAATTAGCTAGAGGTAAATTGCGAGCCGTTGTCAGATACAATTACATCTGGTATGCCATTTCGGGAGAAAATTTCAGTAAAGAGCTGTATTGTTTTAGTTGTCGTGGGCGGCATTACAAGGCTGATTTCTAGCCATTTTGAAAGGGCATCGACCACAACTAAATACATAGTTCCATTAATTGGGCCCGAGAAGTCGACGTGTATCCTGGACCAAGGATGACCAGATTGTGGTCATGAAACTGGTGGGAATTTGGCGTTTACCTTTGCCGCTTGCTGACACCGAATGCATTTTCCAACCAACTCAGTGATATGTTGATCCATTAGGGGCCAGTATGCATAACTCCTGGCTATGGATTTCATTCGTTTAACCCCCGACTGACCAAAGTGGAACTGTTTCAGCACTTTTGCGCTAAGGGACTCTGGCACAACCACTCTTTCTCTAAAAATCAAGCAGTTGTTTACAATGCATAGTGAATCCCGCCACTGATAAAGCTGTTTCATGTCACCATCAAACTTCTTAGACGACCAACCGTTGGTGACACAGCTCATCGTCATCTTGATAATCGGGTCGTTCCTGGGAGCGTTTCGTGTGTCTATTGCAGACACCGGTAATGCCCATATTGCGGTTGTCAGATAACATTCTGCGTGGTCTACCGCTGACAGAGATGCGATCACCATGTTTTCCTGAAGCATATACGAAGAAGCTAATGACGCAGTTTTCATCTATTTTCCAACCTCGATTGGGTTGGTGTTCTGCCATGAAAGCAACGCTTCGGTTGAAACCTGGGGCTAAGCCTGTTTTCCGTCCAAAGAGACCCATGCCTTATGCAACATTACCAACAGTAGATGAAGAATCGAATCGCCTTCAACAACAAGGAGTTGTTACACCCGTTTCTTACTCTGCTTGGGCAGCACCTATAGTTGATATCAAGAAGGCCAACGGCACGATACGTATATGTGCTGACTTTTCTACAGGTCTCAATGCAGCTCTGGAACAGCATCATTATCCTCTGCCAGTTCCTGCAGATCTGTATTACTATGATGAATGGGTGAACGTTTTTCACAAAACTGGATCTAGCTGATGCTTAATTGCAAGTGAAAGTAGATGAAGCATCAAGAGAGCTGCTTACTATCAATACTCATCGTGGGCTGTTTCAGTATAACCGTCTACCTTTTGGAGTTGTATTTATTAAAATGATTCGGTAATTTGAGTTTCTCATTAAATCATTAAAACAAGTTTAATCACCACTCACTTGATGAATAAACTCAACAAACATGAAATAAGCGAGATGATTCTTAATTATTTGACATTTTATGGAGGAAATATTCCGAGTAGCAATATACTGAGAACAAATTAAAGATGATGGAGCACATTCATGAAGCAAACATACAATGATAAGGCGAGAACCAGTGAAAATTTACTAAAAGAAGACTAATGACTTAGATTTTCGTATTTTCAATTGAGTTCAACGTTAAAAACTCCGAAAAGGAATTAAAATGGGAACCCGAAACCACCACAGTACCACGAAATAAGAATTAAAATTATTTGAATGACATTCGCAACTAAATATCACATATTAAGAAGTTAAATTTACTATTTTCAAAAGAAAAAGTGCATGACATTAGTTCATATTTACAAAAGCAAGCATAACAATTCTCATAAAGTTACAGACGTAATAATGCAGAAGACTATTGTCCAAAAATTTTATTTACTCAATATTTTAAATGTTGTAGGGGTTCAATACGGGCCTATGGTACTTACTGATCAAGTGACAACGACTGGGTCCATTTAATAAGATTGGTTCTTTTCGAGATCGACAGCAGCAATTTACACAAAACATTAACACCCGATGGCTGACACAGGGATCAGATGAATTGTGAGGAACTTGATATTCGAGGTAGGACAAGCCGAACGAAATGAGTCGGCATAACTCTGTACCTATAGTGACAAAACATGACCTTCAAGCATATAACAATTTCCAGTTTGGGGTTGTGGAGGTTGTTGAATTTCAATGAAATCATGAACCGATTAATGTCTGACCACCATTGAAAACCTGGAAGCACTAGACGGTCGTTTCCTCCTAGTATGTTACTCCTCATGAGTGCGCATCCACGATCGCGTGCGCAAGATTCAAACCCAGCATCCTTGGCCTTGTGCGCGCCCCAACTGGGAAGTATCATGTACTCAAAAGTGCCTAGTTTCGAGAGGAAATTCTCCGAGTTCTAGTAAGAAGCTGTGACTAGTGGAGTCAAATCCGTGTCGAGTGTAAGGCAGTTACTCACCGAAGACAATGGAAAATGGTCGCGCGACATCGTGAATTGAGTGAAGCTTAATAGTGACACCGTCTGACGACGGCTCAGTAGTTTAGAAGTTAGGCGTCCACGTGCGAGACCAAGGGTTCTTAGTTTATGTCCCGCGTGCGGAATTGTGGATGCGCACTCTTGAGAAGTCTCATACCAGGACGAAACGGCCGTCCAGTGGTTCTAGGTTTTCAGTGGTGATCAAACAATGGTCAGTTCATGATTTCCATGAAATACAAAAATTTACCGAACTAAAAGCAATGACAACCAATAAGAAAAAGTAAAAGGTAATGCGAAAAATTGAATTAGAAGAAACGTGCGAGCAGTTATCGTTTCTGAAGGAATTTCAGCATGGTTGATAAAATTTGAGTATTCTTGTGCTTTCCTTAGCAGTAAAATAACCCTATAATATATCCTTTACTAATAAATAATCAATAGAATAAATATAGACAGATGGAAACATTAATCTTCAGACAAAAACAACAATGAACAATCAAAATCGACTCAATACATGAAACAAACATATGAGGAAATGAAACACCACTCACCTTCATGAACAGTCTTAATATGGAGATGACGAGTAGTTTCTATTGAAAGATCCTTGTTGCGTGAATCATGCGACAATTTTATTGCTATGAACGTCAAAATGATTTAGTAAATAAATTGTAAGAATGGGCGGCTTAAAAGAACAGTAAAAAGAAGAGAACCTCCTACCGTCAACATTATTATCGAAATAAATTATCAAACTTTTTTTCGATTTGTTGGAGACGGTAATGAAACGCACACACTTAGATAACACGGATAGTTATGAAAACTGAAGCTAGCACAGATCGGTGAACAGGTTCTGTAAGGAATGTGAAGTTTCTGAACACTGGTTACACTGTAGTATGTTACAATTGTAAGTGTTCTGCTTGATATGAAGTAAATGTCATGAGACAAATGGGTAAGGTGAGCATTACAATCAGAACTTGCACAGAAGAATAATTGACATAGGTTATTCCGAAAACGTTACCTACCAAAACAGCCAATATTTTACAAGTCATCTTGTTTACAAAAGAATAAAACCTCAAAGAAAATCCAGTCAAAAAGTAGTTCAAGCTTATAAAATGGAGTATCTGATATAAATTCTAAATCACATCAGAAGGTAACAGGTAATCTGGCAAACCTTGAAGCATAGTTAGAACTCTATCGGACTAGTGTATACACCTACAACTTTCGTTTACTGAATGAGATTCAAAATTAGATAAGCACCTCACATACACCAAACCTAAACATTCATCATTGGTTATAACATCAATACATGAGTCTGTTATACTGAACATTGAGCAAACACAATAAAAAGTAGGATTGCGCCTTTCATTTGTCATATCAAAATGGGAAAATACTTAATATACAACTCTATACCCAGTAAATAAAATGAGGAAAGAGAAGTAAAAAAAAATCAAACAAAATTTATAATTAAGTGAAAACATGACTAACTGCTTGCCTTTGGGAACATATTTATTCTGTGTGTTTAAAAATGTTTTAGAAGTATAACAATTATGACATACAGGACACTTGAAGAGATTTGTTTCGGAAAGTCAGTCAGTCAGAAGTCAGTAACAACGTAGAACATCGAACGTACATACATCAGCTCGAGATGCCATACCACATAAGCACAGAGAAGCAAATGACTAGTTATATATATGAGAAAATAGTAACAACCGCGCACTTACAAGTGAGCAGTTATTAGAGATTGAGTTCTTGAAGTTCTAAAGGAAAATTGACGCGTAGAGTCAACCAAAAAAATTGAATAATATTTACACTTGTAACCGTAGATCATTCGAAGCTGAAAATAAGGAGAAATGGACGCCAACTCAATGGTTTGAAAGTACTGTGTTCACTGTGATACATTCATGCATCACTTATGTTCAATCTGTATAGAGCTATGAGTCCTCAATGATCAAAGGTGTCAAATTAATTCGGAACATATATATTCCTATCTGCTTGTCAATAGTTCTTCACAAATTGAGATAATGGTGAAAATAATATATTCGATCCTTAAGTTTTTCACAGAGTGCTTCGGTTAACATCATTCTACTACGATAGTTTACGCAAAAAGATTTTTACTCTCATTTATACAAGTTTAGTACATCGTTATCTAATCTATGTTGAGTGGATGGAGACGATTCGATACTACTGAAGCAAGAATAATGTGTATTAAATAAGACATAAATAATTTTTGATCCTTCAATAATGGCTCTATTTGTCAGCGAATATGGTGACTAATAAAATCAAATCTAAGGACTTTTTCAAAAAAAGGTCTTCAAAGAAGATGGACACAATAAATCATTAGTAAGATGGGATGTCGAAAATGAAAATTCCATCCACGAAATGGAAATATCATACTTCTTTAAAATCTTAACAGAAGTAGCAATAAAACTGTACCGTTAAACACGCCACATAATACAACTAATCGAACAAACACTTCTTCAGATATATGCCTACCTTCAGATTTGTAGATAACGACAAATAAACCATGTCGAATAGGTGGGGAAAAGATTTAAGATGTATGCGAGTTTGATTTGCAATCTCAATATATTAGAATAACGTAAGGCACCTACCCTTTGCAGAATTTCGTCGGATAGGGTTCTGATTTGTCCTGATCAAAACCACAGCTCTATCTTTAACGAGATCGTCAACACCAGGAACTTTGTCGGAATCACATTCATCTACGGAAATCACGAAAGACTGTGGTTACGTAACTAAATAGTTAATAAACATGTTGCTAGATTTATATAACAAACATGTCATGAAAATGAAAACAAATACGCACAAATGTTTGATGTTTAGTGTCAATCATAATTACGCTACATGTAAAATTTACATACATAGCGACAAAGAGATTAGTAAAAACAGAACACAATGAGATTCGGTTTGTATATTTACTCATGAGTTAAGTCATCAAAACAGTTGTAAAAATTAAAACCAGTGTAAATCTGCTGACAGGACAAATTAAGAGTCAATCGTTCGTGATATAAGTGAAGAATCTAAATATTTTAAAAAGGTCTGGGAACTACAGAGTAAACCAACGTCATGAAATGATTCGATAGTTGTCCCTATTTTTAAAAAGGGTTCACGTCGTTCCTGCAACAACTATCGGAGGATAAGTCTACTTCCGACAGCGTACAGGCTATTGGCTTCCGTCATACTTCGTAGGTTGTTCAAAACCCGAGAAAGATTGACTCGCAAAGAGATGGCTGGTTTTTTGTTCTGATCGAGGATGTATTGATCATATCTTCACTCTCCGCCAAATGTTAGAACACCGTCATACTTATCAAAGGCCAACAATCGTAGTGTTTCTTGAAATTATGGCCGCATTCGATTCGTTGAGCAGTACTGTTTCAGAATGAAAAGTCAAAATATGTTTCACTCTTCCAAATTTGGACTTCTCTCTCTAGTTGGCTGTGCTTGGATGCATCGGAATAGCTAGATTACCTGTCATTGTGTCACAGTCTTCGTTCCGTTCTCCGATTAGGTGAACTCGTAATCTCTTCAAACACAGCACTTGTTTGATTTCCAGTGCATTTCCCCTTGTATTTATCATTTCATTGTGATTCCTTATTCAGTGAAAATTACTCAGTTGATAAAATTCTATAAATTTATAACTGCATTAACTTAAATGTAAGTTAGTTCTTCCTAGTTTTATATCAACAAAGCTTTTTCACTATGAACTGGACTTCTCACTCTGATTAAAGAGCAGGGTAGAACAAAATAAAATTATTCTCGTTCAAAGTATTGAATATTAGCTTAGAGCACGAAAGTATCAACAGCTGAAGACCTTATACGATATCACTTAAAACATATTAACAATTACTGATCGTTGAGTAGCTTACAACTAACATCGTGTTTCCCTAGTCTGTTAGTGAGCACCAATTTCTGTTGAGTACTTAACGAGAAGTGAGTATGTTTTAATGGTTATCTCGAAATCAATGAAATTGTAAAATACAGGCGAGGTCATCAGTGTTTTGTCGTGAGTGACCTAGATGAATTACTTCATGGACAGTGGGGGGGTCAGAGTGCGGTGCTGTTACGTATAGTTATAGATGAATGTGGTCGTGAACATGCACGAAACGACACGGAAGTACGTGGCTGCGTTTGAAGAGCATACAAGTAACGTTTCATGTAACAATAATTAAAATTAATTAAGAACCGAACATTGGTATAGTTCCTACAAACAAGTTCTTACATGTTAGTTCCTAGTAACGAGTGACGATGGACAAATATGAATCTCACAAATATAATGATAATAATAATGGTTACCTACCTTTTATACATCTTTCAGGAACAACATTTACATATTTTGAGACTAATTCGTGTGACGACCTTATAACTAGATCATCTAACTCTACTGGTTCTTCGACCTTAAAATTAATTCCAAAACAAGGATCGAACATAGATATCTCCATTTCACTTCAATTTTCAAATGCATAGAAATATGTGGTAACTACAACAAATAGCAAAACAGCTCTTTAGCGAGAAAATATATCGCATAGAGGTTTCAGCTTCAAAATAACGAAAATCACTACTAGCCCCACCCTAATTTAAATCCGGTCACAAGATTACCATCCCTCTTACTTATAAAATATCTACTAATAACAATAACATTTAAGTAACATCGTAACTCCAAATATAATGGGATTTTTAGTTGTTGCTTAGCACCTTTGATACTTGATGGTTTTCTAATCTTAGCAAAACTTAATTTAGGGAGACGTTTTAATGAAGTTGATAACTCAACTCGTGACATTTTCAACCACCGATAGACTCATAGTTGTTCGGTATCACAAGCTGTGACTGATAGTTTTAAACTACCGATGGGTTAGTATACTAATAGTTTTCTCTCACAATCTGGGTCACTGAGTTTACTTAGTCTTGTTCTTGAAGTCAGGTGGATTTTCCCTTCTTAAGAGTCCTGAAAGAGGATTATTCTTCAGAATACATTCTTTCTTGTTTCATAAACCCAGGTCGCAATAAAGAGAGATCGGTTATACGTTGATCCAACGTATGGAAGATCCTTAAGCACCTAAGAAAAGGCGTCCAATAGCATTAGACAAATGAAGCGTTTGTGTCTAGTCTGAAGGCATGCTATGTACTGGCATAATGTGAAAAGTGACACGTGACAGAACCTAGAAGTGGAGAGCGTGAGAAGTGCCAGAACTAAAAAACAAACGAACCACACAGATTTTTGGCGTGGAATTCATTTCCTCATAATGGTCAAGAAGCATTATTGTATTACAGCTAGTACACTAACATCTCACATTTATATCGGTTCCTAATTTATGTTAAAAGTGTTCATAAACTACAATTGTATAACTTTCCAACTGGGTCCTCTTCTCTTTTTACTTTATGTAAATGAATTGCCAACTGTAGCAAAATCATCCGTTCTACTCTTCGCTGATGACATAAAGATTTGGAGACCCATACATAGTATGTCGGATAGGATAGTATTACAGGACGATCTTAGCTCATTGGTGGCATGGTTAGATAGGTGGTCACTAGAAGTAAATCCTAATAAGAGTGTAGTGATGCAGTTAAATAACTCTGATGAATCGTATGACTATACACTACGTGGATTCGTGCTACCAAAAGTAAGAAACTATAAAGATTTAGGAGTCATATTAAGCAATGATCTCAAAACGACTAGTCACTGTAAGGCTGCTGCTGCGAAAGGCTATAGGGTATTATGGTCAATTCGTAGGTCTTTCCAGTATTTAGATGATGAAATGTTTAGATTACTATACCCGATTTATGTGCGACCACATTTAGAATACGGGATTCAAGCAGCGTGTCCTTGTTTCAAATATGAAGCAGATATGCTAGAAAGAGTCCAACGACGAGCTACTAAGATGGTACACGGTCTATCTGGCCTATCTTATGAAGACAGACTGAGACACCTTAACTTATTTCCGTTATCTTACCGTAGAATAAGGGGTGATCTAATATTGGCATATCGTATACTGAACGATGACCTTGGTATTAACATGTCTTATCTTTTGCTCCCGTCTAGAACCGATCATTTGAGAGGACATTCGAAGAAAGTTCAAAAACCGAGATCAAACCGTTTACGTCTGGAGTTCCGTTTCTCGCACCGACTAGTGAATTACTGGAATTCTCTACCGGAACACGTAATATCAGCACCATCTGTTAATATATTGAAAACGAGATTGAACCTCCACTGTATTACAAATTGCAAGGATTAATATAGGTCGACAGACATCCTATCCTTATTACTGAAGACTGAGAATCGGGTGGAAGTAAAGAATATGAGCGACCTAGATCCTTCACCTCGAGCCGCCTTTCAGCAAGCACGAAAAATACTAAGGCGGCTTGTGCAAGAAAACTGTTATATTCATAGCTGATACACTGTTCTAAAGTAAATAACGGGCCTTTACATATGAAATAATAAAGTTTCCATCAAAAACAGAATTGCAGAGGTTCGCGTCTAGCCATGAGGTACGTTGTGTACTAAAGGAGTATGCAAAGTAGCATGAGGGTTGGGAAATGGACAAAATGATAGGTGAATCGATGACCCAACAAGCACACACAGTGCATTGTGTAGTTTCGTTAATGAAACCAATCGACAACAATCTGTAGTGTTTGTATGAACTGCTGATTCTTTTGTACTTGGTGACTGCCTGATATCAAACATTAAATGCAATACTTTTCTTTGGGTTTATCTAGTTCTTTTCGCTGTAAATTGCACTACTTCGGGAATTCGTAGTTCGTATAATGATTTAAATACTTCTAACTATTACACAATTTCCCCAAACTTCGGAGCTCGGGAATCACAAACAGCACAAGTCTCATATCAAAACAATTTTTGGATTGAAACTAGAAGCAGATAGTTCAACCTGCTACAAGAACATACAAACACACTACACACCAAGATCGGACTGATTCGTCCACATACTTCCTATCACTAGCCACATCTAAATTCCCTTGCTCAAGGTCGTCCACTTTCATTACTTTGATCGAAGTGCCGAGGATCCAACAAGTGAACAAAATTCAGAATCAGATTTCAGATTTGTGTAGTAAGGACAGAAGGCTTACGGCCTGTGTTATTCCTTTACTAGTATGCTTCTGTGAGTGTCTATTCTTCTTTTGAAAGAGTCAAAAGTGGTGTACTCCAAGGCACCATCTTAGCCCCTCTGCTCTTCCTTCTCTACGTTAATGAGCTACCGCTGTTGCTTAGGTCGTCGACATTATTGTTTGCGGATGGCGCTAAAATCTGAAGAACAACAAAAAGTGAGGTCGATTATCTGGATCTTCCAGCTGACTAAGACGATTTAGTTAGATGGGCTCGAGGTTGGGGCTTAGAAATCAGTTCTAGGAAGAGTGTGCTAATGCACATCGGTCACGGCAACGGTTACCATTGTACTATTGATGGTGAACCTCTCCCATGCGTTCAAGAGCATAAAGACTTAGGAGTAATAATAAGTCATGATTTAAAAACAACTACGCATTGCAAAGCAGCCGCTGTCAAAGGTTTTCGTGCGTTATGGTCACTTCGTCGAGCGTTCAAATCTTTTGACGAGTTGTTTCGAATTTTATATCCCACCTAAATAAGACCACATTTAGAGTACTATATCCAAGCAGCTAGCTAGTGCATTCAGATGAGGTCATACGTACCTCACTCAAATATTTCGGCTAGTTGTGAACAGAAAGTAAGAATCTTTCGACAAACGGCTCGGCATGTCTATTACCAATGGATCGGTAATGATCTATGTTTCACATTAAGATTAGATTCAGATTTTTGTAGTGAGGAAAGAAAGCCTCTGGCCGGTGCTAGTCCTTTTCTAGTAGGCGTCTGAGAATGTTTAGTCTTCTCTTGAATAACCCAATTAGAGGGTAGAACAACACCTCATCGGGTAACAATTTTCAAGAATTCGATCGCCCAGAATGGAAACCAGTATGCCTCGTGTTGTCTGTTCGTCGGTGTCTTTTGTACTCTCCTGCTATGCCCTTGAAGTTGTCCTGACTTAGTAGAAAGAAAAAGACATGACATATCAAGTACAGAATCATTTTCTTAGTATTCTGGACACCAAAATCACACCACCTCTTAATCTGCGGTAGGAAAGAGTAAAGATGTTCAACTCCTTCAATCTCTCGGACTATAATAAACCCGGAGTTTCGGGATAGCGCGAGTATCTATTGTCTATACACTTTTCGAAATATCCACATCACCGTTGAAATAGAGGCTTACAGCTTGAATGCAGCTTTCAAAGGTAGATCTCATGAAGGTTGTGTACACTTTCTGAACACATTAGTATCCAACTTGATAAATATCCTCATAAAAACTATACGATTGTGAACCACTCAGCTATCACCACGCGTTAGTGGGACATGGTTTGATGATCATGACTCACTGTTACTCTGAATTCATTGTAAGAACCGATAACGAGCACCGAATCTTCTTCTATGTTGTACTTATCTATCTTTCAATCCCCTCATTTTCATACAGACACACACATATGCCTGGTCCAACGTTGTAGCTAACTGACTGAGGCACACTTGGCTGCGTCGACAAACACTGGCCAACTCTCAGACCAGAGAACAGTAGCATCTAAATCCTCCTGAACTGCATATGCATCTACGTCTCCTGTTATTTCTCGCCAAATTTTCACATCATCAGCATGAAGTAACACCTGGGACTCAACTATATTCCAGAGTTCATTTGCATACATAAACAAAGTTACAGGATTCAGGACAATCTCTTAACACATCCACCAAGTACTGGCTTCCAAGAGAAACACTTGCCATTTATCCCTACATTTTTAGGTGTCAACTCAAAATATACCTAGCAAACAAATGTGGAGAGTAAACGGCATCGGTAAGTCAAAACGATATGCTCTGTGTATCTAGAAATCATAAAAACATATCCTAATCATACTGAAAGACTGAAGTTTCAGTTGAACAAGATTGACGAATATCAAAATATCGATGCAGAAGTTATCGAAACAATAAAAAATTTCAAGAGATAAACAAACTATCGATTTAGACACGAAACCTACTCTATAGAATTTCTTACCAACATATGTCCAACCGAAAGTATCAGTTTCTCATATATTACGACGCGATACCTACCGAACGGATAGATTAAATGCTGTCGTAATCCTCTGGATGCAGCAACATTATTAAACGTGTTTGTGTCCCATTCACTCGTATATCTTGAAATTCAGAATTCTGTCGGATTAAATTAGACCTACTATCACTGTGATTTGCTTTTCCATTTCCTCTTCTGTCTATTAAACCCATTAAATCCACCATGAAATCACTGCGGTTAGGATTGAATGCTACTTCTGAGTGCACAGCACCTGTTTGAAGACGTTCAATGACATATTCGTGTCTTTTTCCTCCACTCTTATCATTCCAAATATGCTTGCACATGGCAGCTAACCTATGGGAAATGTGGT